GCAAATGAATCTGATTAGCTGAGTGGATAAATATTAGGTCGACTGCTATGAATTTTAGTTCAATGCAAGACAAACATTCCATTGAAAACTATTTCTAAAGAGAAACCTTCAAACTTCATCCAACACGTGGATAAACAATTTCGCCGTCCGACTCCGACAGAAATTTCAATTTATTCTCCCATGAACATGACTCCCGATGGTTTCAAGACTTCTCGCATTTCGTAATACAATCTTCTGCTGAATTTCACTCGAACTACTGTTCCAGTACTTCCAAAAATTATTTAACAGTACTAGTTCCTTGAAAGTTTCCACTCCCCGCAGTTTTCCTCTTCCACACCAGAATTAAGGGATTACGGTGCCGCAATTCGAAGATTAAGTTGAAATTTTCGGGTTAAATGGAAAATGGTAATAATATGACGGTCTCTGCGCTCTTTTATCTTGATCAACCATTTAGTGTAATTGATAATGCCACTGTGCAGCTCCAGACATAATACGAGACGCTGAGAAAACGGGAATTTTCTGAATCTGTCATTACAAAATACCGAAACATGAAAATGTTAGAGATTAAAAGAAGAAATAGTCACTGCCATCTTGAAATAGCTCAAGTCTTCAAGAGTGAATCCTGTCTCCTTCAAAAATTAACATATTTCTATTTTACAAACTATCTCCTAATTATTTCACAGGTCGAGGAATTAATTTAAACAATTCTCGCGCTGGCACGTGAAAAATCCAGTGTTATTGAAGGAAAATTTGTAAGGCTTTACATCAAAATTTCATATGAATGCCGGAAAATTCGTGAGCAATCCGATAAAGTTTCCAGTTGAATTTTCCCCTTAGCTGGTACTTTGTGCCTTTTTTTCTCGTGCTGTAGCACCAGAACTTTTCTGAAGAATTTATTTTCGCGTGGAGGTAGTCATGCGATAGTCTATGCTCTGATAAATTGATTCAATAAAACAAAGATATTCGGGAAATTCATCATGTAATTTCTAAGATGCATTCTGAGAATCTCATACGCAGTGTAAAGTGAATTCGTATCGGAGTATATCAAAAGCTAAACGAATAATAACTCGGTCTAAGCGACTAAATCAATTTTCCACGGTCTGTTTCGCGTAATAAAGTTTAAACATCAGAGCTTTCATGTGAATCTCATGCCATTCCAAACTATCCAACTTTTTTCCATTATATTATCACTTCCACGCGAACAAATCTTCTAAAAGTTTTCCCAAAGTAATCCAAATGAGATTTTTC